AATCAACTTTGTTTTTCATTCAAGTAGCATTCTCTATTTTGAGAGCAGTTACACAAAGGTTTTGTTTTGCAATTAATGTGGTTATGCTGGAGCTTTTATTTGGTTTCATGCTATAAATGGGCATTTCAGGAACTCAGTGCAATTGTTCTTGTACGAGAAAAATAAGCAATTGTGCAAACCCCAATCAATAAGGTACAATAGCTATTTAGTAACATCGGGTTTGCTTTGATAGATGTACATAAATAAGTTATAATTTTTTTGTCCCATCCATTCTACAAACAAATTGAATGATCTATGCTAATGTCTCATGTTTGCAGTATGGATTAGCAAAGGACACTTCAAGAACTGGGGGATCAATCAATGTAAAAGAAGCTTCATCTAATGAATTATTCAGCCAATCTACAATTTACATTGTTGTTGCTCATGCATTGAAACCGACTTACTCAGTATGTCCCTCGTGTTGTTTCAAACAGTTCCTTATAGAACTTCTAATGGACCTAGATTGAATTGTTGGTTTAGATCACAAGCGTCTCTTTAGTGCTAGATTAAGAACATTTGATTTTTCTGTGCAAGTTGGTAGTATAGTAACTTGCTTGGTAAGTGCCTCGCATTGTTTCAATTAATTCCTCATAAAACTTTTTAAGTTGAATTTTTATTTTTTATTTTATTTTATTTTTGTTTTTTGCAAGTTCGAGGATTATATAATTTGTCCTCATCTAGATATACCTAGTTGAGTCCAACCATAGTATTTGTTACCCCTTTTAACTACTTTTGCATTAACTACTTTTGCAGTTAAAAGAAGATGATTATATATATACACTACAACAAATTGCACTTTTTTTTTTTTGTCAACAAAAGAAATTTTATTAATGAAGAACCAAGAACTTACAACAATAAAATAAGGTTGTGCAAAAATGAGTGTCATAGCTGAAGCTCTACAATCCCATCTAGGATGGCACTGGAGAGACATCACAATCATATGCTAGCACAAGCCCGAGATTGGTGAGAGACCAATCAACAACACCCCAAAAAACACAAAGAAACAGAGAAGAACAGAACACCCCAAGCCCAAGTACACCCAACAACTATAATTGCACGCCAAATTCAAAATACAAAGAATATGTATCAACCATAATAAAACTAGCAACAATTCCAGCGTCAGCAGATCAACATTTCAGCAACAAAACCAGAACAATCAGCAAAAACATCAGCAACAGAACCAAGCAAAGTCACTTCTTACACTAGCAATCAGCAACCAATTCGCCCAGTAAGCAGCAGCAGCGAACAAATTGCCCATCAAGCAACAACACCAACAACAATATACATCAGTAACAATATCTAGATACTACCATAACCAGCAATAATCAGCCATCAAAACATCCAGCAAGCATCCACTTCCAAGAAGCTAAGAGTGATCTCTGAACTGCTGAACGTTATTAACAATCTCATGCACAGAGTAAAAACCATCACTAGAATGAGCCTTTACCCAAATGGCAATTCTGAATTTGATCAGATCGCACACTTCCTCCAGATGTGCTTGCTTACTTTGGAACACAACCTCATTCCTGAGCTTCTATAATGACCACAATATAGCCAATGGTATAGCCTGCCAAATCAAATTTGCAAACTTACCCCACATAAAACCACTTCACCAGCCAAGAAGATCCTCTACATTCCGAGGTATAACCCAAAGCAGCCCCCACCATTGCAGTAAACAAGACCACACCCTCCAAGCAAAAGGACACCATAACAAGATATGGGACACTGACTCCACCTCCATCTTGCAATATACGCACAGGACAGAAGCCCTAGGACGTAAAACCCCAATTCTTTGTAAAAATGAAAAAGTTGTAAGTCTCTCATTTCACGCCAACCAACCAAGAAACTGCACTTTTGGTGATCAAATTTGGCTACTAAAAAAAATTTAGTCATCATGGAATTAGCGACCAAAAATTATATTAGTCAGCAAAAGTAAAATATTTAGCTACTAATTTTTTTAGTCAGGGTATACTGATTATTGGCAACCAAAAAAAAAATATTTAGTAGTTAAAAATGTCCCAATTGGCGACTAAAGAAATTTTTAGTTGCTATATAATTAGTTTTTCCTACTAAAATAATTTAGTTGCCGAATAAAAAAAAAAATTTACTTTTTTTATTTTTGGCGACCAAAAGTTTAGTCGCCAAAAATTTATTTTTACCTATGAATTTTTTTTTACTCATTATATAGTTAATTTTGGCTACTAAAATTATTTAGTCCCCGAATAAAAATAAAATTTTTCTTTTTATCTTTGGTGGCCACAAGTTTGGTCGCCACAAATTTATTTTCAACGACTACAAATTTTTTAGTTGCCAAAGAACTAAAATATTTGGAGGGAAACATTTCAAATTTTGGAGGGATTTATAAAATTAATTGGCAACCAAAATATTTAGTCACCAAACTACTACTTTTAGCAACTAAAAAAATATTTAGTCGCCGTTACTTAAGGTTTTGGCTACTAAAAAAAATTTAGTCGTCGTTCATCATTTTCTTTTATTTATTTTCCCATTTTCCATATATTTGCCCTAGCCTTTCATAGACATTGATTGTTGTCTCGAACGACTCATCGTTCTCACTCTGTCTCTCTCTCTCTCTCTCTCTCTCTCCCTCTCTCTTTCTCTCTCTCGGTCTCATATTGGTATGAATCTCTTAATCTGGTTCTCTTTCTCCTTGATGTTCTTCTCAATCTCTCAATCCCGTTTATTTCAAACTCGATCATTAAAGGTACTCTTTTTCTCTCTCTCTCTCTCTCTATCAAGTTTCTTTTTCTGTTTCTTCTTGTTTTCGAGTTTGAATCTACACCTAGGGTTTCGATTGAGTTCAAGGTACTCTCTCTCGGAAGTTCTTTTCTCTGTTTCTGTCTTTCTTCATTTCTTCTTATTTTGTGATTTGAATCTGTGCCTAGGGTTTGGATCGACGGATGACCCTTGCAATATTCAATTTGAATGTGTTTGAACTCTTGCTATTTGTAGACGCGCCCGTGGGCTTTGCTTACTACAGTTCAGACTCAAATGTCATGGTTCCGAATCTAATCCTGCAAAGTGCAATGCAAGACCGATAAATCACCAAAGAGTCCAAATCCGGCAAATTGTTTTGGAAAACTGATTTTTAATAAAGAAGTGCCAAACATGGACTGCTTTGCCAGATACAGAGTCGCCACCTAAATATTTTATTTTGGAGGAATTTAGAAAACCCTGACTCGTACCTAAGGCCACGTGTTCGTCATCACCAAAGTTGCCTCGGCTCGGGAACTCGGGTACGAGAGGGGAAGGTCATGCAATGAGCACCCCCGCTCGCCCGATCAAAGATCGGCCTCTACTAACCATGATATCAATTTTTGGATTTTTTTGAAAACACATTTGCTCTATTCCAATTAATTAGCTAGAATACATGTAATGCGGCACAGGCAAACAAGTATAGACTAGATGCCTAATTTGAACAAAGCATCACATATTCCATTCGTTTGGAAAAAATGTTGAAGTTTGCTTTACTTGGCAAGTAGGCTAAAATGCGAATTTGAATGAATTGTTCCAATTCAAGAAATCCCAACCTTCACCCACAGCAATTTCAGGCAGTTAACCACATAAATAGTTAGCCTCATGGCAACGATGCCTTTCATGGCAACATTAACAAATGGCAGTATCTAAAGCTAAACACTCACAATGTACTCTCGAGCCAAACAAAGAAACTACTTAGAAATCATGCATGATCCTAAGGTTTCCATGTTAAGATGCTAATGCAACACCTGCGCAAAAATCAGCATAAGATAGCTCAGCTATCCTAAGATGTCATGTAAATTAACTCCTGATTAACATGCTGTTAAAAACACGTATTCAAGTTAATTGTATTGAAAGTACAATTATTAGTAATGATCGCCAAGCCTGGTGCATGCTATCAGATGAATGAGTGCCACCATCAAGCAAAAGGTATTGCTAAATAAACCGGCCCAAAACTAGTAACCATCATTAAACGCGCATTAAAGTAAAAGGGAGAAAAAAATGGGGATGGAGACATGCATCTGCACACGCGCACTTTACTAAACATTTCAACCTCTCCGAGGAGGACGAATAAGGAAGCTAACTAGCTATCTTAAGCCTAATTTAAACTAATTTATTACACAACAAAGTGATTAACTAATTCTAATTAACTAATATTACAAGAGCAATTGAAATAGCTATCACGCCAATTTAACTATTAAAGCTACAAAACAAAGCCAAAAGCTA